TTTGCCCCCCACACCCCCCCTTCTCCACCCCCAGACTTCATCACGCACTTATCATATAAAATAGTATACGCAACACGTGCGGACAGCAGGCGGTATCACTCGGGCGGCTGCGCCGCCCGAGTGAGTAACCGCCTGCTTTCCGCACTAGTTGCGTAATGTACTATTTTGATTATTAGTATCGCAATTTTCTAAAACGAATTATCAAAAAGATTTTTTTAAAATGTAGTTTATTAATGTGTCATAGTCTTCAATTTGCATCATACTAAAATATTATTGTCTCTACCAATTCGGAGCAAGATAATCGAAAAAAATCAAAAAATTGAAATTTTCAAAAAGCTTACTTTTTTTTCGTCATTATATTATGTGTATAATAACAAAAATTTAGATCAATCTATCAAAAATCCTGGTAAGGGACGCTTTTAAAGATTTTATGCCTGTACAACCACATGCTGTCAATGAAAAAAATTAAAAATCCATTTTTTCTCATTTTTTGCGTATAAAAAATGAGTACTAAAATCATCAGCATGGTAGGGACAATCTTCTGCAACTTTCAAATTTCACCGTGGTCTCCCCGTAATGTTCTTTCCTTACAACATCGGATATAACTTCTCAGATCATTTAAATCACGAGGCGATACTTAGGCACATGTGTCAAACGTGAGACTTTCCACGTTTACCGAGGATTATTTATGAAAAAATAGTAATCATGATTAATTTCATTGACTTCTGATTCTGAAGGTTTCATTTTTGATATTGAATACCGAAAATCCCGTCTTCACACTCATTTCGATAGAAATCTATCGAGTTCATAACGTAAATTATTTACGTTTTCATGTTGACATTAACAATAAAATTAACGACTTAATAAATGTCGTCATTTTATTTGCGGTTATGAAGTCAAAATGAGAAAATGAACATAAATTATGCAACTCATATCATCTTCAGTCCGTCTCTTCCACAAAAACTCATTACCAAATGCCGTGAAAATAGAACTAAGGAGAAGGCGAATTGAAAATAAAAAGGAGGGAACGATTGAAGGGGGAAAAAAGTGAGGATTGACCGTGCACGCACGTGTAAGTATATAAACACGAGTGACTATCTTGGCGTGTCGTGGCAGTAACACCTGCGAGACACGCCAAGGGCCCCCGGGGGCCTTCCATCGTCCCGGATCGAACGAGGTTGGGTCGACGATCTGAGCGACGACACCGGGGCAGCGGTTATTTTCACTCGTTTCAACAGAAATTTCATTCAACCACCGGGGAGACAAGGGAAATTAATTAAAGGAAGGTGATCGGTGAGGCCTGCGCTCGTCAAGATGATGGCAAAAGTGTTAATTTTATTCATCATCTGCTGATAATTTATAATACGAGTCTTCAGATAGAGAAAATTTCAAGTGTTTGAAAGAATATGATCTGGTGATCAATAATGATTCATTTTTAAACAATTATTTATATGATAAATGAGATGTCGGATTCAAATAAAACTCTCCATTAAAATTTTTGATATTTATTGTGATTCATTTTTCTATTTATTTACACTCATATTTATTTCAGTTTAAATATTTTAGTTTTATATAAAGCCTCTAGGCCATTCGAACAAAGTTTGTAGAATAAAAAATTTTTTTTTTCTGCGTGTAATTCACTGACGCCACCGATTGCGGCGCTGGGGTGGACTTCTCTGTTATGAAATATAAAGATGCGCGCGCGCATATTATACTATTACAAAATTTTGGATGAAATTTCCGGTACAATACACAATTTTCATCGCATTGTACAGTCCCACTGCAATTTCGAGGAATTTCATCAATGAAAGTACGAAATTTGATGGAAAAATTGATGGGAACTGCAAATTTCAGTTCAATGATTTCATGAAAATGAATAAGGGGCAGGAAAAATCGAGGGAATTTGTTCTGGAATTTTCAATTGATTGAGAATTATTGGTCTTTCAAATGCAATTCGAGTCTTGAGAGGGTCCGAATGTAGAATAATTTGACAGAACGAAATAATTCCCAAAAATTTTGATGACATTTCAACTGATGATAGTCCTATGACAAGAAAAAACAGAAGAGAACAAATTGCTAATTTGTTAGCAACAATAACTATACTCATTTATAAAAAATTGTCCACTTATTTTTCGAAAGTTCCTTATAAGGAATCAATGGCATTTCATGAATATTTTCATACATATAGACTTTAATAAGCTCAATTAATTGACATCAATTAAAATTCAATGTTCCATAGAGATTCGAAAAAATTGATATTTTTCCAAAAATCGATTTTTCAACGATCACTCAATAAATCGTCATCAAAATGGAATTAGTCATGGCTCAAAAAATTGATAACAATACCCTCTTAATTCTATCAGAATATGATGGGGGTGGCACAATTCGTTGTTGAATTACAGCACATTGTTTATACGATTTGAAAGAGAACATCGGTTTTTTCATGATTACTGAAAGAGTCATTAGTAACAGCAATTACTAAATCAGGGCTTGAAAAGTATATTTCAATGGCTTCTTAATCAAGTTGAAAAATGGTGAGAACAGCATCATTGCTTATCAAGTCACTCAATTCCGTCATGAGCTATTTATATCAAAATCTCTATCTCTATTACACTCAGGTACCAGTCTATTATGTTGAATGCTTATTCATATTGATTCATGGTCCCGACTAACTTCTGACAGAACCTGGGTTAAACTCTGGCTAAATCCTGAATGAACCCTGATTAAATCCCGGCTATACACTGATTAAACCTTGATTGAACCTTGATTAAACCCGGACTGAAAACGAATTCGAGTCTTGAGAGGGTCTGAATGTAGAATTATTTGACACAACGAAATAATACGAAAAATTTTGATGACATTGCAATTGATGATAGCACTATGACATGAAAAAATAGAAGAAGAGAATAATGAAATAAGAATTTAAAAAAGAGAATCCATGCGGAAGCAAATTGATAATTTATTAGCAACAGTAACTGTACTAATTTATAAAAATGCAATCATCCACTTATTTTGCATGGAATATCTTTTATTATTGTTGTCTTGAAGTTGAAATATTAATGGAGAATGCCAAATTTATAATTTTTTTTTTTTCAGTGAATTCGGGAGCACCTCGACATCATGGAGCTCACGACAAAGTGGCGCATGCCTTCGCCACTGACCCTGGCACTGGTCCTCCTCTCGGTTGCGCGACTATCCGACGCCGTGTCCGAGAGTATCATCGGTAAGAGACCTGTTTATTCTTCCGTTATGTGCACGTGTACTCTCAAATGTATAATATCAACTGCTAGCGTGTGAGAAATTTGAGAGGATCCGTGGAATGTGGGAATGAGGAAATCTAGGAACAATTGTCTGTCTCATAAAACAAACTGGGGGAAAAATTAGAATGCTCGAGGGAGAGAGGGTTCCGTGAGGATTATTCCGCTGGAGAAATTTGATCTTGACTTTTCTCGGATGCTCGTGCACTCGCAGGATACAATCATTCGATATGAGGAAAGTCGGAGTTAATTTCACTCACCATAATCCGGGAATTTATGCCCCTCAGAGTTTATCACCTCATCTTGCATTAAACTACCAGCATGAATGCATTAATTTTATTGCATCCTCGGAAAAATTAGCTTTTAGAATTATCCTATGAGTTTTGATAAATTGTCAGTGAGGTCGCGCACCAGCGTAATTGATGCAATTAGAAGCTAATGAAATTAATTCTAAATCAAGTTGAGGTTTAGGTGTTGTGGGGGCAAGCGGTTTCGATGTATTTCGATATAAAACAACATCATGTTCTCCTTTTATATTGTTAAAAAATATCGGCTGAAATTTTCGGTACACTTTTTAGAAATTTTTATCAACTTTCAGTTTCACTGCAGGGAGAGAAATGTTCAGTAAAAATTACGGAACTCACAGTTCGCTCAGCCATTATGGAATCGACTCAGAAAATTCAAGTGATGGTATCGTAATTTTTCACAGGAGATTCAGGTAAAAATTACGGAACGGTCTGGAAAAATTCTGTGATGTTAGATAAAATTCCGTGACAGTTCCGTAAAATTTCCCGAGTCGAAATTTTACCGGGTCTCCCAACGTAGTTTCAAGGTCCACTGATGGGTTTAGAAAATATGTTGTCCAGTGTACAGGCTCAAATGTACCGATTCAACCAACTTTCGACGTAAATACCGTCGCTTTTTTCCATTTTTTCCAGATTGTACGTTGAAATTAGGTTGAAACTAAACGTATCCCCAACGTTCCTCCACCGTACATTCTTTCCTTCCTTCCTTCCTTCCTTCCACAAACGTCATTAACGTTGAGGGTACTTTTAATATACGGTGGATATTGAGTGTTTTTCAACGTCCATGGGCCTTCACGTTGAGATAAGTTGAAAGTACGGTAAAAATTCGGCGGAGAATTTGGACATCAAAGCAGTGTAGGTTCAAAACGTTGAAACTACGTTGGGAGACCCGGTAGACTTTTGACTCGGGTTCCTACAACCACATTACGCTCCGGAATTAAGCTCTCAAACAAGTTTTACTTGTGTCAAGAAAATATTTTTTTGAAAATTATCAAAAAAGTATTTTTTTATGCCAAACATGCAGAGAGTGCACCGAAATGAAAAATTTTTGTCGCAAAAATAGATTTAGTAGTTCAAAAAAAAATTGCATTCTCTGTACACGCAAGAAATGTCATTTCTAGCACTACTCCTTCATTATTCGATTTTCCCATACGTATTTTGCTCCCGAAAAATATTTTTTTTATGCGAAACAAGGGATAGTAGTTTTTCGTTTTGACTGTCTAATAATTACAGACAAGAAATGAACCCTTAAATAAACTCATAATAATGATATGATAGCAATATTGTAACTTAGGGATAAAATATTTGTTGATAAATTTTCCTCTATATGAGATATTTTCATCCTGAAAAGACACCGTCTGGTGTGAATTATCCGCCTCTTCAGCCATATATTTCGTTGTTGTCGAAAGCAGAACAATTATTCATGTTTGTACTTTCAAATTCGAACCAAACAAATTCTTTTTTGGCAATTTTCACCTAGCGATTTTGTTGGCCCAAACAAGACTTGTTGGACAATGTGTTTGAGAATGTTTTCTCTCAGTGAAGGTAATTTTGTTTTGAATATTTCTCTCCGTGTGAAATTTCAAGGAATTTCGTAATTGAAAATTCAGAATTGCAAGGAAAAATTCATGAGAACAGTAAAATTCAGTTCAATTATTCCCTGAAAATGAGTAGAAATCAGGAAGATTCCGGTAAATATATTCTTCAATTTTCAACTGTTTGAAAATTCATCGTAATTCGTCTGTGAATATTCATGATTTTATTGAAAATTCACATAGGTTGAGGAATTTTCGCCTCAATACTGTTTAAAATTTCGGAATTTTATTGAATTTTCAGTAAAATCTGACATTTCTCGATTTTTATCTCCTTAAATCGCATTCAATGTCACTCTCCTGAAAACTACTAGTCGAATGTTCCTGGAATTAAAAATTTTCTAACAGTCTAGCGATAGGATCCCCGGCATGTACACTTATCTCTATGATTTTTTCATGCTTATTATAACCGGCACTCAATCATGTAGATCACGTTGCAGCCGCGTGAAGCCCACTTCACCCCCAAGTTATGATCTCACTCGAACCCCAATGACTAACCAATTTAAACAAAAATATTTATGTACACTGCACACTGAGAGGAAAAATTAGCTCTGCCGAAAAACTATATGTTCCAGGGGAGAATATTTGATGGAGTGAAACAGATTTACTTGAGGGAAATTAACCGACTTGATAGAAGGAAATTTAATATCCTTCACAAAAATTAAATTTTTGTCGTGATCATCAGAAATATCCCTAGAAGAATTCGAACTGTTGGCAGGGAAAAATATAATCTATTATAAGTGTTTATTGGACAAAAATATACACTACTCAATAACATTCACTTAATTAAACCGGAGCCTCATATAATTCTCTGCAGAATGAATGTATTTACCCGAAAGCCATATAAATGTCTCACGAGAACAATTTGCACTACGAAAATTATCTTGTTTTGGTGGAAGCTTTCTTTTTTCTCCGCAAGTTAATTGATTCAACACGACAAAAGATCTCTTCAGGGGAACATAATTTTTCAGCAGAACTAATTGCTCTGTCAGTGTGAGATGACCATTAATCTCAGAGCAAATCACACCGGTGACAAGTGGTATCGTTACCGAAAAATTACGCATTACAACGGCGTTAATTAATCCGTGGGTTACATGCCTCGACTTGTCTTCGCGCTTCTATTCTTAGTGCTGTATCACCATTATCTCCTGGTCTATTTGCACCCGAGCGACGGCTCCTGCTGAGGTGTATCGCGAGTCTCGCGTGTCTCTGACTGTCGGCTCATGATGGATTGTCGAGAGTATCAAAATTCTCTGCGGTGGGGCGACTAATAACAAGGGGGAGGGAGCGGAGAGAGGGAGGGGTGGAAAAAAATGCGCCTTCGACGGCGGTAGGTCGACAACAAATCTCCGATGTTGTATTAGTTAGAGAGGCGAAGTGCTCGCGCTTTTGTTCGATAGAGCGCGGAGAACATTTTCCTAGATAAGAGAGCGCGAATTTGCATGTACCTACACGCGCCTTGACACATACTCGAGGCGTATCCCCAGGTGGACTTGCCCCGTTAACATCCATCATGAAATGTTACTTTATAATATTTCTTTTTTATTGATGTTGGTTCATTGCTTGGAGAGATGATAAAACGAGATGTTAATATTTTGGGTAGGATTAGCGTCAAGGGTTGATGCTCTGTCATTACGCCCTTTTTCCTATCAGATTCGATATTCCTTTTTTCAATTAATTGTTTATAATCAGTCTCATTGCAATAAGCAATACGACCGATGAGAATCATATGTCCCAATTCATCAGCTGTTAAATTTTCATATTACAATAAATGATTTGCTCATGTTCTAATTCCTGTGTTCACTGAATAAGATTTTAATCATAATTACAATTCAATTCCTTCTAGAACACACGTTAGAGTGTGAATTTATGGAATTCAATGTTTGTTGATACTCTGGTAAAAGTGCGTGCCCACACTGTTATCAATTTTTAGTTAGTTCACACGGTAATTCAATTAATCTGTTGTTCATCTCATCAATATAATTTCGTGCTCAGAATATTGTCATCTTGTGTTTTCAGCACCAAATTAAAAATTAAAACTTCATTTGGAATATTGAGTCACTGCTTCTTTTTATTCATATCAGAAATTTTGTATTTGGATATTAATATTATTTGTTCAAAGTGAAAAAATCGATCATCATTTTCACTACATTGCATTCAGATTCTCCTATCCTTAACGTCAAAAATGTGAGATAATCTCATAATTCTAGCTATTAATTCTAGTCAACTTTTGTCGAAGAAAACCTTAGTAAACGCAATATTATGAAAGTAGAATTGTTCTATTTTCCTCTGACCTTAATTATTTGGACAACGATGATTCGTTTATTCATATTTCATAGAATGGTATTCAATTATCTTTTGTTTTTTAGGCGGGCTTCATAAAAATTCGACGCAAGACGATTGTAAACATGAAAACCGCCTTACTTTCTCCATTCGTTCGAGATATCTGACATGTTCGAGTTCTTATTTTCGATTCGAGATATTGCCCATGCTTTTTTTTAGAAAGGATAATAGAAAACAGTCAGCGGGGGGGGAGGGGAGGAAGAGGATTACAAGGGTTGATATAAAAGATTATTTGAAGGATTGAAAGAGAGAGTGATTTGGACGAGTCTGATTATATTTTTAAGAATGCAAAACAAAATTCAATGAAGACAAATATGTCGACAAGTGAAAGAAAAATCGACGAATTTCACTGTGCGACTGTTATTTTTCATCATCTTCTCATGAATCAATTTTTTTGATTTCGTAAATTTTTTAATTATCCTTGAAATGCATAATTTTCCAAAAAATATAATCCAACATTTTTTTCGCTGGACATTCCAAGACCTATAAAAAATATCTTGAAATCTGTCATTCCCAAGATGAATCGATCATAATCGAAAACATGGAATTTCACTCAATTAACTATTCCGAAATAACTCAAAAAAGCTGAAACAAAATTCAAGAATTTTTTCTTACAATTCTCCTAGCGATAAAAATATAAAACGTATCATTTGGTCCTGAGGAATGGAAGAACATGAACAATGGATGGATATATTCTGGATCACAATGGATATGAGAATTTTTGTT